ACAAAAAAAGAAAAATCTAATCTCAGCTCAATTTTAAATTGGCATTAAATAAAAATTCATTTTATGTGAGACAAGTACGAAGCGTATATGAAGGTAGAATGACCCATGATACTAATATTGCTACCCAAGTTTATGTAAGGCTTTAAGGTGTGATTGTTTTTTTCTAAAAAAAAAAACAACAAAAAAGAAAAATCCAATCTCAACTCAATCTAAAACTGGCATTAAATGAAAATTCATTTTATGTTTAAATCTTGTGAGCGCACATTGTTGTTGAAAGTGCAATTCTTATACTCCACAAATTTCATAAAACAATAGAATAGATGCTCACTACCTACATTCTTTGGTCGCTATAGAAAACTCGTAATATATGGGTCTTTGAGAAGAGTTGGCAGCCGGAGTCCTAGATCATCAAAGTAGCATGAAGAGACTGGAATGACTTGAAGGACAGGAAAATGGATTGAAGATTTGTAACAGGAAGAAAGAGTCTAGTTGTAGCAGGAAGAAAGAGTCTATCGGGAAGAAAAAGTCTAGGTATAGTGTCAATGGCATTTTTCTTCTTGCTCGAGTTGTATTGATATGTGTTGTTTTCTTCAGTGTATATAGTTTGCAGAACAATGGGTGGAGATGGCTAGTTGTGGCTTTCTTCATTCATGTTGCTCAGTTTGTTATTCGGTTTGGTCTAGGCAACACCTGTGGTGTTTGTCCTCCCGGTGACCCAGGCTTAGGGGTTTCCCTGTGTACTCTATTTCTTGTGTAGTTATAAGAGTTTTTGTTGAGGTTTGAAAAAAAATATATTGTATAGAAAATCACTATTTTTTAATAATCTCATAACTGGGCTACATATTATTTTCAATACAAATAAATTAAAACAATTCATTTTTGAGCAACTTTATTGTTGAGTTGTAGTCAAGCTTGTCTTCCTGGGCCTGAGATGGCCTAGGTTGGTCCCGAACAGCTGTTGGTAAGTCTCGACAACACTCGGTAGGTCCCGGACAACACCCTTTCGTTCCCGGACAGCATCCTTTTGATCCCGAACTTGCCCTGGTTTGTCCGCTTCAAGCTGAAACCGGAAATTAACAATAGATAATCAAATTTCAGCGAGCATAATCAAAATTAAAATGTTGAAAACAAATAAGAAATAAATAGTAAACGAATACACCCTTTATGTGTTCTTGTACAAGGCTCGAATGCCACGAAGATGGTTGAAATTGATCAGCCTCAGTCCCCTTTTGTCAATCGCAAAAAATAAGTCACCAAATAATCGACAAAGAACCGATCAATTGGCCCCTGGCCACAATAACTCCGGAACTGGAAGCCCAATGGTAACACCATCGGTCATTTCTTAAAGATTGGCCCGAAAACAACCCCCACACAAAAAAACACCCAAAAAATCCCTCTCACCTACTAACTCACAGACACAAAGAACACCCCTAAGACTATCCTTATCCGTAACCCAACCCAACCCAACCTAATCATAAAAAATTATTTATCTCTCCTCCACATACACAACTCAATCTTCTAACCTAATTAATCTTTATCCCCAACCTAACTCAACCTAAATAATTATTTTATTTTAATCTAGTTAAAAATTGTAATTTTATTCCAAAATATATCGAGTGTGGTCTCTATCTGTAAAGAATGAAAAAATATAAATTTTAATATTTTTTTTTTAATTTTTTTAAACAAAACAATACACTTATCCAATCAAAATGGGACAAATGTTCCATCAAAATATTGACCTGGGTCGCTATACTTGATGACCTTCTTCATTTTTTTATTATTTTTTTCGTGTAGTGGGGGGTGACCCAGCAACTGGGTCACGATAAAATAAGCCTAACACACTCACAATCTCTTTATCACAAAGATACAATAAAAAAAGGGCGTTACTATTTACCGCCCCCCTTATTACTAGTCACCGCCCTCCTTGGACGATTTTGCCCTTTTCATTTTTTGTCTCCAGCAATATGTCCAGTAGCTCAGAGGTAAAAAAAATCGTCCGGCCGGAAAAGTAGAACGCGACCGGCGGTGTCCGACCGACCGGACCGGACGACCTCAAAGGCGTCCGGCCGGTTCGACCGGACACACCATGGCTGTGCGATAAAGCAGGCCGTACGGAACGGCCTTTATACTAACTGATCGGCCATATGGTACACTTGGTGTCCGGCCATGATGGCCGGTTGAAACCCGGTCCGGCCGGACATCATTTTTTTTATTATTATTTTTAAATGCTTTAAAATTATTAAATATATTGCAGGTGTCTTTAGAAGATTTTAGAGGAGATGGTATTGATTACCGTTCCGCTTTCAATACAACTACGCTATTTATTAGTGATGAGGAGGCTATTAATGATGCAAAAAGTACGGCAATTCTGAATGGTTTCTTTTTGAGTATTTCGAAACAAAAAAAAACCCGGAAGGCTGAAGATCTTGAAGTGCAACCGAGGCAAACAGTATAGAGGCAAAAACGTAGATATGAATAAAGTTGTTTCTAGACATTCAAAAACGAAAGCGTGCCACTGCCCTTTTGAGATACACGTAAAGCGTGTTGCCAGATCGACATACTGGATGATCCACACGAGTCAAGATGAAACGAAAGGATACCATAATCTTTCATTTGCTGTGTATCCTGAGGGCCATCGACAGTCGAGCGGCATCAACCAATCATCAAAAAATATTATTCGTGATATGACTGCTACGCATGCGACACTAGCAAATATTTTAGCTGCCGTCCAGGAAAAAAATCTACACGACCATGCTAATCAGCGACATATATATAACTATAGAGACTGGTTGCGTAAGGAAAGTCTTGAGGGTAGGGACGTTCCTACCCAACTTCTACATTTGGCTAGCAGCAGCAAGTATATAGTTTATACAAATGTCGATCCGAATACAAATGCGTTGACACACATATTCATGGCCCATCGTGATTCAGTGAGTCTATTCCGGACATATTACTGGTTTGTCGGTATAGATTCGATGTACAAAACCAAAAGGTATTTTAAATTTACAGATATGTTATTAGTATTAATTTAAATTTGTATTTTGGATTAAATTTTATGTGATTATAAATTTTGTCTTTTGGTCTCATTTTCACAGGTACAAGATGCCGTTGGTCGAGGTGATTGGCATGACGCCGTGCAACAATAACTTTTTAATTGCGTATGCCCTCATGGAGGACGAGAAAGAGGCCAGTTATGATTGGGTTCTCGACAAGTTGAGACTTCTCATAGGCTATACGGTAAGGATTTATATGAAGTACACGATTAATTTAATTAGTAATAAAAGTACTTTGTGCAATATGGTAAAAAAATTTGAGTTTTTTTGCTGTGTCTCACTAATTTTTGCCGCTGCTCAGGTGCATCCTAATGCTGTTGTCAGTGATAGAGAGTTGGGCTTAATGACTCCTATTAGGAGGCATTTTCCCCAATCTGCCCACTTACTATGCACGTGGCACATCAACAAAGATGTGGAAAACAAAGTGTACAACCTGTTTGGAAAAAAATAAAAAATTATCTGAGAGGTTCTTGCGCGGTCGGTGGAAGTCGATTATGGATGCCAGTACGTCGGATGAGTACGACACTGCCATAGCTCAATTGAATGCAAAGTACGGGAATGGCTCACAAGTGGTACAATATCTCGAGCGGACTTGGCTAGGCCACAAGGAGAAGTTTGTGAAAGCCTGGACGAACCAAGTAACACATTTTGACAACACAACTACTTGTAGGGTGGAAAGCCCACTCTGTATTGAAGAAGTGGCTTCACACGTCGACTGGCGCGCTCGATACAGTGTGGCATAAGATTTATAAGGAGATCGAGTCTCAATTGACTAAAATCAGGTACATTCCTCAAAAACGAAATGTGTCATTTTATTACTTATGAAATAATTATAATAAATAAAAAAAGCCACCGAAATATATTATATATAAGTATATTATATTATATTATATTATAATAAATATTATATTATAATTTGTTATATTATATATGTATATTATATTATAAAATGTTATATTATATTATATAAGTATTTTATATTATATAAGTATAGTATATTATATTAAAATTTGATATATTATATTATATAAGTATAGTATATTATATTATATAAGTATAGTATATTATATTATATAAGTATATTATATTATAATTTGTTATATATAACAAATTGTTTTATTAACAGGACAACACTTGAGTCTTCGAGACTTAGGAAGAGTACGACATATACGGGATTGCCTTTCGCGTGCTTGATATTGAGAGTCTCGCATTACTGTCTGAATTTATTGAACGATGAGCTGACAAGGATGCGAGACTTGAGCTATGAAGTTTACTTGCGCTGCGGTTGTTTATTGCCTACCACACATGGAATTCCTTGTACATGTACGCTTCGTACATCACATGATTCTAAAATGGCAATTGGTATGGACATGATTCACGAGTTCTGGAAGACATTAGAGATGTTAGAACCAGGTAATTTGTGGTTAATGTTTATTTATAATTTTCTACTTTCTGATTC